AGCAGAGGAAGGGGGAGGATGAGTACACTGACTGCGTTCTCAAACTCACAGCTGTGGGAGAAGAGGGAGTGCTGGTCCTGTCATACAAATGCACACTATCATTACAGAGTAGCAGAAAGCCACACAATGCTGTTAACAAATCCAGAGCGGCTAACTAACACTTAACACGTAAATGAAGTGGTGCCACCTGCAGACCACAGTGTCTCTAGCTCAAACCCATCACTCTGTACTGATTTGGACATGTGCTTATTACAGTTCAAAGGGGTCATTTTCACATATTAAGGTTTATTTTAAAACGCTGATTTATGTGGCTTTTTATAGGCTTCTTTTACATTTCGTCTCGTCAGTTTTACAGAAAATCATCTACTTTCAATATTTACTTATTCATTTATTTGTCTTCATTTGTTTGATTTAAAAGTGACATTCAGAAGCAATGATAGTGTCTATAAAAAAACCCAAAAAACAATTTTTAAATATTCCATCCAGTCCTTGTATTTGCAGAGGTTGCTGGTGCTAGGCTAGCACATGCCAATGGCCATTAAAACAGTCTTACCCACTCCACAAAGCACCCGAAGCAAATCTATTATTACACCAGACTATCGACATAAATGTCTGTCGATAGAGTAATTTTAGAAGTAAAACCAACTTTGCATTTGAAGGATTTATGTCTGAGCAGCGGCAGCAGCAGTGAGTTGTATTTCCTGATAGAAAGCTTGGCAGCGGCGGACTGATATATGAGAAAATAGTCCCTCAACATGCAACAATTCATGTGATGCAAGGTTAGTGTTATTTAATAATAATAGATTTGCTTCGGGTGCTTTGTGGAGTGGGTAAGACTGTTTTTAGTGGCAGGCTAACTATGGCCATTCATAAGCGCTAGCCTAGCACCAGCAACCTCTGCAAATACAACAACTGGATGGAATATTTTAAAAATGGTCTCCACACATCTCCAACACTCTGACTCACTAGGAAATGAGGTCCTATGGCCAAAATTCCTAACTGTCCCTTTAAACAAATAAACTTGACACCCCCAATTATGACAAATAATAAAGTATATTATCTTCTTACACTGTGGCTTAATTACAGTAGTACCCTCCATAGTATAAAACACATTTAAAAATATTCAGCCACATCATAGATATATAAGTAAAAAATAATTATTAATATCCATCAAATGGTTTAATTTTAATTAAGGACTTTGTTTTCTTTAGTAAATGAACGTATTGAAGTCACATTGCCATGGCTACAATGCTACAAAACATGGCTTTCCAACTTTTTACCAAAGCTGCACGTCATTGAACAGTCTGTGCAGACGCATCTTTGTGCATCATGCCTCAGTCACATCAGTAAGTTAAAGACCTCCTGCAGAGAACCATGGGAATATGCCATCAGACAGACTGGAGAATGTTATTATGTGGGGTCCTGAAGAGAGCTGTTATATTTGTCCTTCAGTATTTAACCTTCTTTTTGAGATTGTCACAATCAAAGAAGAAAAATAATTTATGTTGTTCAGTGGCATAAGCTGCTTTAAAGCTATACTAGATTCCTGCACATCCAGTGTTACAGTAAGATGTTTTGCATTTAGGGTTTGTAATTATATTTAACTTATGGTTGGGGCAAAATAATAATTTACTCAGTTTATTAAGCTTAGGCAGACAGAGATACACATTATTTAAAATGACAAAACTTACCACTACAGGAACTAAGTAATAAATATAATCTTAAGAAGAAAAAAGTAAAATTATTTAGTAGTTTCGTAAAATAGATCTGACTAGAAATTAAAGGCATAAAATTTCAAATTTGGCAAATTTTTTTAGTCAAATTTTTTGGTCAAATTTTTTGGATTTGGACACATTTTTCTGTACAGTCCAGGAAAATCTTGTGAAGTACAAGCCTGGAAAGTTTGGTGTGTGTAGGTGCTACATTAAGAGATAAGTATGTCCCAATGGGGACATTTGTTAGAGTTGAACCGCAATGTGTATTCTAGCTGTAATTGTAACAGTAAAATTTGATATTGAGACATCCTTACGAGTAAATATAATGTGAAGATATAATGTCAATCAAAGACTGCATCATGTATAGAGTAATATGAGCGCCTTTTACACAGTGGTCATTGTAGAAGGATTTCTGGAGTTGACCAAAGCCAGTGACATCACGCTCTATTTCTGACTCTGGAGTAGATCATTGAGAAGCTAAAAGGTATCCATTAACAGAAACCAGCTGGTTCATCACAGTCCTGCTATAGATGTCAATTAGTGATGATGTCATAGTCTCTGTAGTTCTTTGGGATGCTAACAAAATGTCAATTGAGTATTTTCTTATTAACCTGTTCAGATTGGATTAAAGATTGATGATCGAAAGCTGTATGATAGGAGGCAAAGATTAGTAGTGATTATTACCTCATTTGACCTATCTGCTAACACTTAGTTTCATATTTTCCACATCTGTGAAACTTCTCCAGGACCAATACAGTATGCGCTTATTAGTGCACAAAATGGTACTCTTAAGTGTAGTTAAAATACCTCATAACAAACTTAAAGTACACAAAATGTGTAGTAGTATATGGCCTTAAGCACCTCACACAAGAAGCACCAGACATTTAATCCAGTGGGGCAGAAGCAGATTGAATAAGGAAGTGGAGATGGGCTGTGGACTGAGATTTGAGGATTTTCTGCATTTTTGCCACAGGGGTTGAGTCATGCCCACATAAGTGATGCAAAATCTCCAACCCTTTCCCCTCCCTTAAAAATCCATATACATCAGGGGATGACTTTTTAAAAATACATGACAAAATAAGGGATAAATCACTGTAAAAGTATGTGAATGGTAAATGGTAAATTTTGTCATGTTTTTTTTATGACTATAATCTGTATTATTAGGCTAAATACTAGTATTAGTAATTATTAGTCTAAATAACAGCCAATAATGAGAAGAACCCAGTGTGAAGAATGTGATTGCCAGGCCCAGCTCTTGTCTCCTTGTTAGAGTGATCTAGAGTTCCCACAACTTCCTGAATTTACAGCACTCAGGTGCCCTACTGTGCTGTTCATTAGAGACATAATTACATCTGCGCAAGATTCACTCACTACTCGTCTACTCACCTTAGCTGTCTCCACATAACCACTGCACTTTACTAGACTCCTCTCCACTTTCCAAAGACCAGTTCCCTGTTTGAAAATTGCCAATTTACTTAACAGCCAAATACACAAACTCCAGGCATGATGTGAACACACACAAAAAAAAAGTCATTCAGTGTAGTACACAAAACTACACAAGAAACAAAGGGACAGCCAAATAAGACACAGTGCTATTGGTTACTAAAAGGTGAGACTGTACAAAGTTGCTTTGAGGCATTTTCATTTTACATCAGTAGCACTGATAATAAATACTATGAGAATGAATTATCTATAAAAATGGCTGATTAAAAGAGTTCAAGGATACGTGCATTTTATTTAATGCAAGGTACAACAATTGTTTTTTTCAACATTATGACTAATGTTTCAGTCTATTTGTGTGAGGTTTGGCGTAATGAAGAGTGACAGGCCCAGGTGACGGACAGTTCTTTTTTGCCGTGTCAGATAAGCTTGCTTCCTTCCTCTTTTCCTCCTCATTGACACACAAACTGGCCTGTAGCCTGCAGTTAGTGTGAACTGGAGCACAGACAATAATGGTAATGATGGAGAATCATGTGCTGCTCTGGTGCAGAGGACCAGCTGACTGGATGACTGCTCCTGGAGCCCACAGGCTGCCTTTTCTTCACACAGAGACACTGTGAGAGTGTTCAGGCAATATTCAACAATCACTGACTTATCTTTTATCCCTGACACGCTCTTTGATTCTATCTTTAAATTCACATATATTCTGCTGTAAGTATGTGTTTAAATATCCACTGTGTAAGTCTAACCATTTGATGTTTCAATTTCATTGTCTACAATAAAAAAATGAGAAATTACCCCAAGTCCTCACATAATATGCTATGTAACCCCTACAGTCCATTACACCCTATGTATATTTATATGGGCCTTTTCCATCACTGGACACTTAAGGCTCTTTATATCAAGAATCCACTTACCGATTTATCTAAATACACAGCACAGAAAAGCTGAATTTCTAAATTGTTCGCAAAATTACGCAAAAGGTGTATATGATCAAGCCTCTTGTTTGTCATTTAGTCTTCTCACTAAACACAGTAACATTCCAAGAAAGTTCTAGCCTTCTGCAGGCAATACAAAGCACATACCCAAAGTACCAATGCTTATGTTCAAATAGTACATACTATTAGCATACATACGATAGCTGTTCACTTTGCAGCAGAGCTGTGCCATTTCACTGCTGTGTGTATGACTACAACTGCAATCCAAAACAATCTAAATGAAAATGTCTTATTGAAAAAATACAGATTTTATGATTAGCAGCAGAGCTTGATTAAAGTTTGAATGTGAGATCACACCATGGCTAATAGAACACAGTGTGTTGCCTACAAAGTCTTTAGTCTCCACAGCAAACCTCCAGAGTCTTCTGGAAACAGAGCATGTGATTAGAATTACTGACACACTTTCAGAAAGTGCTAATCTCCATTTACAGTAGAAATTACACTGCAGAAGGCTTCTATTATCCACACACCGTTTCATTTGTGTATCTCACATTATTATCTGTATTATTGAAAAGCAACTAAATAATGATATAGAGTTAAATAAAGAATGCATTCACTTTGTTGTTCATCTAAATCTTGAAGAAGTGCTCCGTATACAGCTTTTATGATGTGACTTAATATACACAATTCTATGTATAATTTGTATACAAGAAAAAAACTAAAACATGCTGAAGGTTATGTGAACAATGTGATGTAGATAATAGACTAAACTAAATAAATAAGTAAAAAATGTATGACACTTTGTTGTTGGAGTTGTTGAATGTTATAAAGCTCAGAAGTAGGGCACAAAAGCAGTCACACCCCGATCGTCATTTCATCAGTTCTTGCTGTGGTAGGTGTGTATTACCTGTGGCAGGGCCGAGCTGAGCTGGCGCTGCAGGGAGTCCCTGTCATACATAACATCCTGCAGGTGCTGCTGAGCGAGGCCCAGACTCTCCTGTGTCTCTCTCAGAGTGTCCAGCAGCCGGTCCCTCTCGTCCAGCATGTTGACCATCAGCTGTTCAAAGTGAGAGTCCGGATCAGACGCACTGCTCTGAGAGCCGCGCTGGCTCAGGGCAGTGTCCTCACTGATGGTGGGCATCACCTCACACATCATCTTGGCTCTGAAAGGAAGGAAACAAAGCAAATCAAATGCATGTGTTTAGAAAGGAGGGTCTAGTGACAATTTATACATATCAGAGTAAACTTGTGAACAACCCTTCAAATATGGAATGTTCATTATAAGCATTTGTATTATTGCTGTTGTCCTTATTCTAAAACTGAATCAGCTTTGCAAGATGAATCCTTGGCAAAATGCCTCCCTGACACTACAAACACTACTGCTTTTGCTTTAGTATCATAACGTTATCACTTTTACACAGCTTTTACCAACAGTCAACGACTATAAAATATGTCACTGTACTGCATATACAGCGTAGTATAGTATAAAAAAGAGCCTGTGAATCAGTCTATCTATAATAAGCTTACTCATGTGCTGTGGCGATAGCATTATTATTGTTTGTATTATGTGAACACTGGTGACAGAGCTAATGACCGCCGCGGCTGCTGCATTACCCAGCATTTCAAAGCTGCAGAGACGTCTTGGAGGCTGGCCGTTCTGCCCTACATTTCACGCTTGTGCTGGTTAATGGGCCGGCCCAGATCCAGTTGCATAATACACCGTATTTATACTATACATAGAGGTTATGTGGAGACATACTACCTAGTCTCCCGAGTAGAGCAGCAAGAGTCTAGGAGTGAGAGTCATCCAGTCATCCTAACCACTGTCATTGAGATTGAGGCTTAGACAACCACTGCAAAAATAATTAGTATTGAGGATGTGTATATAGAAAATGTGTGTGTGTGTTATTATTTGTTTGTATTTATATTTTTATACACATCTCTCTCTCTCTCTCTCTCTATATATATATATATACATATATATATATATATATATATATATATATATATATATATATATATATATATATATATATATATATATATATATATATATATATATATACATATATATATAAAATGATTTTTTCAACAAAATAAATTGTTAAAATAAAAATTTTAAAAAATTTAAATAAAAGCCTAAATGATAATAATTGAAATTCCATGTCACCATCATATCCATTGATGTTGGAAAATCAGCCCCTTACAAAGAGGTGAGTGTGCTAGCTTTTACCCATCCATATTGGAATATCTGACCCTGGACATAGACATTCCCCATAGGCAGACTCTGTGGTATAATGGCAGGTCTGTGAGTCACAGCGTGTACTGGCGGTGCTCTGGGGTCTCCCATATCGTGCCCAGGCATTTGGCCAGACTCCCCCCATTCAGCATTCAGCCTCCATCCGCTGCCATTTAGACCTGAGAGACCGGGCCGGCAGCCTGCAGCCTGGATCAACACATGCTTATGTCACAAGACTATGTTAGCCTGGAGAAAAGGCTTATCCACAGAATCGAGGATCAGGGAAGCATTCTAACAAGGAACTGGCCGTTTGACCCCACTAGATCAATTGTAAGGATGCGTACAAAGGAAAGCTCGCTGGATAAAAAACTATATTTCTAAAAAAATGCCTTTTTTCAGTTTCAGGGTTTTGAATGTTGTTTCTGTCATTTATTTCAGATCACCTTACACAGGAGACCAAAATGCACCACGCATTTACAACCGTGTACTACACCAAAGACCAATAGATCAAGCGAAAAAGCAAAATAATGCTTTTATGCAACAACATAGCAATAAAGGGAACTCTGAACCCCACCAAACACATTCTACTTCAGCCATAAAATGAATCTGTGCACATAACCATTTTCTGTCAAAACAAAACCAGTATCCATCTAAATAAGAATATTATTTCCTAAACAACAGAATGTAGTGCAGCTGGTTGTGATGTTAAATGTGAAGATGAAATTATGCTAACACCAGTGCAAGAGATGCTCAGTTAAACACAGGGCCACAGATGCAGACAAGCAGGGATCATTGGGCTTTTCTCCCCATGCCATATGCCAATCAATAAATTATTCAGCTAAAGAAGTGAAAGTTTCCCTAATCAGTAGAGAAAATCCTGCCTTTTTCTGCCTCATGAGCTTATTCACAGACACTTGACTTTTACTGTTGTCTAGCTGCATCCAATGAATACCGATTATAAATACCCGTACATTTCCCCAATTCAATACTGGAACCAACTTTTTCAGTTCATAATTAGAGCCTAAGGAAACCCCCAAAAGTTTCTGTTTTTCAATAAATAACAATAAATATGACAGGAAAGATATTCAGCATGCTAATCTCATGATGAAGAGTATATCTGTCAAATAATTTAAGTGCATGCTGATTAGGGCTGCACAATATTGGAAATAATAGCAACATAATATTTGAATATACTTTTTTTCCCTCACAAAGTAATCTCAGTTACAATAAAAAAATGTAATATGTAATAATGCATTTGTCAAACTTAAAACTAAAACTCAAAAGCTTCACAGAGGCAAAACCAAGACTAATTCAAGGCTAATTCGTATAAATAAGGAAAATCGTGAATAAGACTCGTCTGTTTTAAAATTTTAATTTTACAATGTTCTTTCTAATGCTAATACAATTCACTCAATGTCTCTCATGTCATTAGCAGAAAGAGATAAGAACCAGCCAACCAAACAAAACGTCAGCGCACACTTGAGCAGTTTGTGGCATGCGTAAGGGGCATATTCAGCACGATTCTCCACCTGGAAACATCAAAAATCTGCAGCACCAGAAAAGTGTGGAGCAGGCAGAGCACAGAGTACAACACTGTGCCTTTGGAGATAAGCTGTGCTTGTTGAGTGGCTTTTAAAGACACACAACACATTTAATGGCATGTTTAAAGCTTTTTCTTATTGCAAGCATGAGATTTGTAAGTTTATTGGGTTTGTCAAATGTGTAATAAAGTCCCATATTACGCTAATTTCAGATCTATGCTATAATGTTGTTTCCTCCTTAAAATAAACCTGGAGTTGTGTTTTGTTTCATTCATGTGTTTAACACACAAAGTCTGCACATTTAGGCTGAGTACAGTACTCTCAAACAGAGAGTACTCTCAAACTCCATACGCCTTCACTAGAATAATTTCGAGGTGGATGACAAGAAGGAAAGAGCATTTTGAGCTTTGGAGATGTAGATAGACTAATAATGAAGAGTTACTCAAACATGTGTGAATGAAATAAAACACAACTCCAGGTGTGTTTTTGATGAGGTAACAAAGTTATAACATGGCTTAAAGCTCACAAGAGTAAATGTTGCATATAAGACCTTTAAATGAAAAGCTCATTATGAATCTACTGTTTTATATAAGGTCTATCATTATTGCTGTCCATAGAAATCTACACTACACATTACACATAGGTTAGCATAGGTTGGCAGAACAACATGCGTAAGGTTGTTAATAGTTTTAATACTTAATACTTTAATACTACAAGAAGAATAGAGTAATGGCCCAGGTAGCCAACTATACAGCCTTTTAAATAATGTCTAGGTTTGATGTCTTGACATGTAGCTGAGTGCATCTACAGACTACACTTAAATCATAATGGAAACAACAGCTCTTTGCACACTAGGATCTACATCAAACTGACAGGTGGTAAAGCGTGACACAGCGTTTTTTTGTTTTGTTTTTGTTTTGTTTTTCTGAATGGAGTAGACCAGATGGAATAATGTACTGCTACTACACACAAATCTCATTCATATGTGCTCCTGTCCCACAAACTTCTGATGCCATTGAATGGTAGTTCTGGTGTCCTAAAAGATCCCTGATCCCCAACTGTTCATCTTAATCTCACAACTCCAGGCTTCTGCTGTGTGAAAAGTCCTAACCTGAATGTCATAATGAGTATAGCAACTGAATAAATGGTATAGTTCAATTAGTGTTTAATGTGCACTGTGTAACTTTTCAATGGATGTTATTCTGCTGTTATTGTTAATGCTTTGGAATTTTTATTGCTAAATTGCTAAAAATACCTTTAAAAAAGCATGCATTCAGACAGTGAGCGATAATGTCTCTCTACAGGTCTGACCAGTAACTTGGTTAATTGGCATAATGATATTATCTGCTAGTCTTGAAGGAGATAGATAATGCTAGAACATTCCAAAGAAAGCAGTAGGCATGTAGATGGTGGAACCTCCACCACAAAATGTTGGAGTATATCATAGTGGGTTTGCTCTTTTCATTGATACTGCAACAAGATGAAACCAAGAAAGTCTCATGTACTGAATGGAAGGTCTAGTGTATGGTTTTCTCACGCCAGCGTCCATTAGTGCTCCAGAAAGCCTGTGCATCAAGTCCCTTTTCATAATGTGTGTGTGAGTGCATTTATGTGGTGCTGCTGTGAGCATCTGTGGCAGCAGAAGAAGGAGGGGCCAGGCATGATGTGAGCCAGTGTGTGGTCATCGGTTGTGAGTTCATCTGAAAATAAGTCTGTGTATGTGCACATGAAAGAACCGCTTTAACATCAACCACAGTCCCCCACAGCAAGGTCACAGGAACCATCAATCGATAGGAATTGAATAAGAACATTGATTGAGATTAACAAAAAGCAATAAACCCTAACAAATCCAAATTCTGTTCAGGATTTTAGCAATACAGTAAAATATTAATATATATACTATATTATCACAATTATTTTTAAGGCCAAGGTGCAAAATGCCTTTGTCTAAACTGTTATATTGAACTACACTGCTGCTACAGGTAGCTCTTCTTCTCTAAAGGTGCCCCTGCATCATTGGGCTACCATCTCTGCAGAAAATATTTTCTTACTGTCAATTTTAATTTATCTTCATAATAAAGTCATTGCTTCCCCAAGAGCTATTAACCTCTCTTGCAAGCCAACGTCTCAATTAGCCTTTCATTTTGTCCATCTTATATCCCCGTAATTTAGCTTTTACAATAGCAGATGGATGACACTGACTGGGCACCTGTCACACTGTCTCCCCCATTACATCTGCATAACTGCCTGTAATAATATTGTTTATAGAAGGGGCAACTGGTTTCCCCATGACAACTCCTCATTTTAACGCTATTAGGCTCACATACACCCACACTGGAAGGCAGCAGTGGTCTGACTGCTGCGGCTGTGTCTTGA